AAATAAATCTCAAACACAGCTCAACTCAAATGTTTTAATACAGAACACGTTTTACCAAAGATAAACTTCATTCACACGAAGAAAATTGTGAAGACTTAATCAAAAGTTTAGCCGCTCTGAACGAAATAAAAAAAAAGTGCAGTGATCTTCAGACAGTGGCTTGTGGTCGACGCCTGGCCAAAGCGAAAGACATTTTCACCGAGGTGATGATTGAGTGAGTATTATGAATATAGCAAAACAATTGGAATTTTGCCTATGAAGAAAAAATGAACTAAATATTACATTTTCCCCCATTCACAGCCATCAAGACACAAAATTGAACTTTGACAGAATTGAGCGAACGCTACAAATACTCAAAAAAGGCGCTTTACCACCTAGTCCAGTGGAAGTAAGTGAAATATGTGAGGCGTTTGATAAAAAAGCCGTCTTTGACAGTTATGGGTCAACGCTGCAAACCGTTGATTTGAATGGTGAAAAACTTGAAAATAAATACGCTTTTTTCGATGGCGCTGTGGACAACGGAGATGAAGCATTTTGTGTATTCTCATCAAAAGTATCTCTTCAGTTGATTGAAGCCGAAATTCCACCTAATAAGCGACACATATTAATGGATGCTACTTTCCGCACAGTGCCCATTGGTCCATTTAATCAGCTATTAATATTGTATATGAAGAGACAGAAGAAAGTTTTTCCTTTTGCATATATCCTTATGAGCCGCAAAACAACCAAGGCTTATAGGAGCGTTTTTGAATTCATCGACGAAAACATTATCAAACTGGGCGATGTTCTGTCTTTTACAACCGACTATGAGATGGCTATGCGAAATGCTCTTAAAGAATTATTTCCAGATGTTCGTCGTTTTGCTTGCTATTTTCACTTCTGTCAAGCGGTCAAGCGTCGTGCATGGCAAACGCCTGGGCTCGTAGCACTTATTCGAAACAATGCGAAAGTCAGGTAATAATCATTATTTTATTTTTGCTTAACTCATTTTACTAATGAGATTATTGTTTAGGTCTATTTATTACCAATTGCAATGCTTGCCACTTTTACCGCCCGAACACATTGAATCGGAGTTCAAACGTTTAAGAAAAGAAGCTATGGAGCTTCCACAAAGAGCAGATCTCTTTTTGTTTATGCGATATTTCAATGACCAATGGATAAAGAAGGTAAATGTGCTACTTGAATTTTTTGTTTATTGCATTCAATGTAAAATGAATTCATTACTTTCTTTTCCAAAACATTTTTCCCGAACATTTACTTCTCATATATTTATTAGCAATATGTCATTTGTTTTCTATTATAGGAAGGCCCGCTTGCCATTTCGGTGGCAGGTACTGGTAT